CAGGCAAACTCTGCCCACAGCCTGGGTTTAACCTCTGGTTAAAGGTAAAATAAAGGTTCCCCTTGCACATACATACATACAAGCTAGTCATTGTTGCCAGCTCGAGGGGGCGCTGCTCATCTCCGTCACAAAGCCGAAGAAGAGCCAGCACTATTCGAAGACATCTCTGTGGTCATATGGCCAGCATGACTAAATGCCGAAGGTGCACAGAACGCTGTTACCTTCCCACCAAAGGGGTCCCCGTTTTTTCTACTAGCATTTTTTACATGCTTTCGAACTGCTAGGTTGGCAGAAGCTGGGACAAGGAACGGGAGCTCACTCCGTGACGTGGCGCTAGGGATTCGAACCGCCGAATTGCTGACCTTTCTGATCGACAAGCTCAGCGTCTTCGCCACCGAACCACCGTGGTCCAGCTAAATGGGCTCATGTTAGAGAGGTTGGGTGGGTTAAGGTTAATTAAACACGATACGAACGGCCTGTGCTCCGAGCTTGCATGCCAATCCCAAAGACTGTCTCCACAATAATGTCCAGCTATTTTCACTGTTATTTCCAAAACAAAGCAGGTGGCCCCGACACTGTTTTTCGCATTGCTCTGCATTTTGTTTTAAAGAAATAGGCCAGGGATTTGCAACCTAAGGCTCTGGAGCCACATGCGGCTCTTTTGGCCCTCTGCTGTAGTTCTCTGTCGGCTGATGCCACCACTGGCTGGCCCCTCCCCTCCCCGTCCCTCCTCACCTGGCCGGAGAAAGTAAGGGTGGTGGCGGGGGATGGAGACTTGCTCCATATACCAGAGCAGGAGGTGACTGGGTGGGAGGGAGGGATGTTGAGTTGGCCACGCCCACCCCAGGTTTTGTGGCTCCTGGTGTTTTATTTTCTGTGGGAAATGGGTCCAAATGGCTGTCATGCCTCTGTCGGAATCTGACTTGGAGGAGGAAGCTGAACAGCTGACAGGGAGTGGGAGTGTGGCTCCGTTGGCTGTGGAAGAAACTGAGGAAGGGCAAAGTCCGGCTGGGCAGAGCAGGGGAGAGGTAGAGCAAGGGAGAGGGAGTTTAGAGGAAGACCCAGGCCCACCCCATCTTCATCCTAGGGCACGCAGGGAGGAACGGAGAAGGGAGCAACGTGGGTTGTGTGGCTTACGGGGGAGAAAAGGGCCCTGATTCCCTTCATTAGCTGCAGCTGGGAGCACAGTGTATAAAAAAGGCAAGCTGCATGCGGCAAACTTGGGAGCAAACGTGATTATCTTGATTCATCGTGTCTTATCTATGTTCCTGGCATCTTCCCAACTGCGTGAGTTTTGCTGTGCTTTCAAGTTTGAAATTCCTGCTCCTGCCCCGCCAAACTAATTATTTCAGTTTGGCTTGTTTGGACTTTAAGTTACAGTTTGTGTGTACCTTGTTTTGGACTAAATTTTCTACAGCTAAAGGCTGTTCCTGGGAGAGTTTTTCTCCAGCCAAAGGTAACCTGGAAATTGGGGGCAAAATTGGGAGATAATAAAGGGACTCTTATTGTTTATCTGACTGTGTTGCCTTTGTCCACGCCCCGGGTCATCACAATGGCTCTTGGAGTGTTTAAGGTTGCCGACTCCTGAAATAGGGAAACCCAATTCCCCACTAAGTTATAAGTGCTCTATATTTACCGTATATTTTATGTTTTTGGGAAGGGAGGCGGGGAGTTTTTTCTTCAAAGGTCATCGTTCTCAGTTTACAGGCGGTCCTCAGCTCACAACAGTTCGTTTAGTGACTGTTCAACATTCCAGCGGCACTGAAAAAATGTGACTTAGGACCGTTTTCTCATAGTTATGACCTTAGCAGTGTCCCCAGGGTCACATGATTGAAATTGAGGCTCCAGGCCACTGGTTCATATTTATGACCATTGCAGGGTCCCAGGGACACATGATCCCCTTTTGTGACCTCCTGACCAGCCAAGTCAATGCGCAAGTCACATTTGCTTAACGACTGTGTTACTAATTGAACAGCCGCAGTGATTCACTTAACAATGGTGGCAAGAAAAGTCATAAAAACGGGGCAAAATGAACTTAACAAATGTCTCATTTACAAACAGAAATGTTGGGCTCAGTTGTGGTCATAAATCAAAGACTACCTGTATTTATATTTTATTTTATTTATATTTTATTATTTTATTTACATTTTATTATTTTATTTACATTTTATTATTTTATTTACATTTTATTATTTTATTT